TTCCTGTACTGAAGATACACATTTCAGGGTGAAAAAGCTTACAGGAAGGAGTTTGCATTTTCCGTTGTCATATGGGCATGGCATTTTCAGGGGTCATAGTTGCCCGTCCCACGTTTTTTCCCCGATTTCCCAAACCAGCAGATACCAAGTGCATAAGATGGGGCACAGGCTGTTTCCGCATTGCCTTGGGTTTCTGTGACTGTATCCCTGTTGGGCATGTTTTCCCTGTCTTACTTCTATCCTCCCTAGCACCAACAATGGAGCTCCCACCATTGTTTTTGGTAATTAATCCTCACTATGCTATTTGGGGTCCTCTTGTTTGCTATTTCCCTGCGGTATTTCTAGTTTGCAATATTGGTTTTTATCTTATCTTTGACTACACTTTTTTTCCCTACTATGGCTCCTGTCCCCTATGAGGTCATTTATATGTATTCCTTCCTGCGTATAATTCCCGACTACCTGGACAAAAACTCCAGCTTCACCATTACTGTCTCCCCAGGACAGTATCTCCAGCTTCACCATTTCTGTCTCCCAGGACAGCACCTCCCGCTTCCCCCATTACTGTCTCCCAGGACAGCCCTATCAGCCCCACATTACTGACTACCAGGACATCACCTCCAGCCTTACAGTTTGTGACTACATGGCCAGTATCAAGGGGCAGTACCATTCAGCCCAGATTTTTTATGTTCCCATCTGTTGTAGAAGCTTCCAGGTTTTCTATGAAAGCAGCTTTGATGTTGTCCTCTTTTAATACCCTTGTGATTTTAGTCCCACAATTTTCCTCATTTGGGCATACCCAAAAACACTTCTCTGTTTTAATACTGCTTGTAGCTAGTTCTGGGATATCTGCAAAAGGGGGCGTGACACCAATTTCCAAAAAAAATGACAATTTATCCATGGGGAAGCCCGTTTGTTTGACTGACCACAGACTACACACAGCTTCATAATGATTTGAATGGTTGATTTACTGCAATTCTACTAGCAACCTCTTGAATATTATATTAATAACCTTAAATGAAGCTCTAGCTATTTGTATTTCTGTTTCTAACTCTTTTTGTAATATTGGACAGCTTACCGTCACGTTCCTGAAATTTTTTAAAGTTTGTGTTTATAAGGGCGCCCCACAACCCCATTCCGTTTACAGTCTGCTTTATTGTCCAACGAAACTGTTTGAAACCAGTCCCGGGTTCGGACCAGTCAAGGGTTCGGACCAGTCGATCTGCTCTGATCAGTGGGTCACTTTTTTAAAACATACTGGTCGGTGATTTGAGCTAACACATGAAGGATCTACTGGAAATTATCTACCCGAGTAATATGTGATTTGACTGATAGAAAAAATATAACTTGCGTGTTGAAGAGCCGGTGATATTTTGGCAGCTCCTACAAAGACGAACGGTCGACCTCCTTGTTTATCAATCGCTGTATCTGGCTTTTCTATTTTTTTTTTTTTTTTTTTCCGTCTCCACCACAATAAATGCTATATTATCACTATAGTTGACTGGTGCAAATTTTGGAGGAAGGACGCTTTTTCTGTAGTAATAATTGCTTCTCGTTGTGTATATTGCGACCGCTGGTAACTACAGGTTATATGAAATTCACAGTAACGTCTCGTATTTCAAGAAAAAGAAACTAATGAAAGTCACTCCACTCCACTAAGTACCATTATAATACTGGTTAGTTGCTACTACAACACTGTATTCTGCTAATCACTGGTATCACTAGATTATATGCGAGTACACTAGTAAGCCAGGAAGATTATTAAAAACAGCTGACCTGTGGTAAGTTTCTGGCGACTTCTGGCACCTGCCTCTATAGGCTTATCACTTCATTTACAAATTCACCTGTTTTCAAATGACACTTTAGCCTTTATCATCAATATACTAGGGAGCCACTGTAGTATACACTATACACTATGTATACTCAATGTTATCAGGGAGACTTTCTTTCCTCTGACACGAAAAGTTCAATTATTATTATTTTTTTCCACACGGGACACAGGCCTATGATTCCCCTCTGGCAGTAAACTCTGCTAGTGCACACTAATTCTCCTTTTTTGACTCAGTATATAATGTTTTCCGCCCAAGATTGGTTCCAGGCGCTAGAGGGATGTATCGTATAGGATTGATGACACAAATTAAAGTTCTAGCACGTAAGAGCGACCGTGAAAACACGAGATAACCCCGAGCACAACGAGGCACGCTGACACGCTGAATCATCCACGCCACGTGGGGAAATGAGTCCACCTGAGGTGACACCAAGTGACACCTGGAGACACTGATCCGGGGAAGGCACTGACCTAACTCGCTGACCTTAGGTAAGTGTGGAAGGGAAGACATCTGGGAGCGAACGGATTCCTGGATACACGAACTTGGGGAAGGGTGTTGTTGAGGCTGATCTTGGGGACGTGGAGAAGGGGATACATCCGGGAGCGAATGGATGGATTCCTGGATACATGAACCTGGGGACAGCATGAATACAGGTTGGTGAGGCTGACCTTGAGAAAATGGGGAAGGGGAAACATCCGGCGACGGACGGATGAATTTCTGGATACATAACCCTAGGGGAGGCTCAGGCTGGAAGGCAGAGATGAGAGGTGAGGCTGACCTTACGGAAGTGAGGAAGGGGAGACATCCGGGGGCACCAACGGATGGATTCTGGACACATGAACCTAGGGAAGGCGAGGGGGGGGGGCTGGACCTTAACGAACCATGGCCTCCACGTGGCAAGGTCTGGTAACACTGGCCTCCACGTGGCAAGGTCTGGTAACACTGGCCTCCACGTGGCAAGGTCTGGTAACACTGGCCTCCACGTGGCAAGGTCTGGTAACTCAGAGATAACTCTGAGGCTGACAGTGGTCGCAAATAATTGTATTATTGTTATTCATAATTTGCTAATTTAGATTCAAAAGCGTCAACCATGGTAGTGTTAATCCCACTCCAGCCTCCCTGACAGTAGCCACGGTGGTGTTATTCCCACTCCAGCCTCCCTGACAGTAGCCACGGTGGTGTTATTCCCACTCCAGCCTCCCTGACAGTAGCAACGGTGGTGCTATTCCCACTCCAGCCTTCTTGACAGCAGTCATGGTGGTGTTATTCCACTCCAGCCTCCCTGACAGTAGCCACGGTGGTGTTATTCCCACTCCAGCCTCCCTGATAGTAGCAACGGTGGTGCTATTCCCACTCCAGCCTTCTTGACAGTAGCCACGGTGGTGTTATTCCCACTCCAGCCTCCCTGACAGTAGCCACGGTGGTGTTATTCCCACTCCAGCCACTCTCATAGGAGTCACGGTAGTGTTCCTTTTTGCGTTCATTCACCAGAGTTAACTCAACAGAAATAACGCTGAAACAGCTAGAATTGTCAATAATATATGTTGGAGAGTCGTTCAGCGTGGTGAAGAGGGCAGGTCTCCTGGGTACACATGTCTGGTACTCTAACATAACGCAGGAAAAGACATCGGGCAGGGACAATACCGTGAACCTACTTCATTAACATTTCACCTACACAGTAGCTTCTTTAGTCTAATACAGAGGCAGCAGCAGAAGCAGTGAATGCCACTGTACTCTGCTTCTGTGTTACTGTATTGATTCCCTCTGTTACTGTGCTACACTGTTCTTATGTATTACAGTACTGTACTGTTCTTCTGTGTTACTATATTGTACTGTTCTGTATTACTGCACTGTTCTTCTGTATTACTGTATTGTACTGTTCTGTTTTCATTTGCTGATCTGCGAAACTGTACTGGTCATCTTTGTTACTGCACTGGTCTTCTATGTTACTGTACTGTACTGGTCTTCTTGTTATGTACTGTACTGGTCTTCTCTGTTACTCTAATGTACCATTTTTCTGTGTTACTATACTGGTTCTCTGTGTTACTATTACTGGCCTTCTGTGTTACTGTTCTGTACTGGTCATCTCTGTTACTCTATTGGTCTTCTCTGCTACTGTACTGTACCACTTCTGTTACTGTACTGGTCTTTGTGTTACTGTACTGTACCCGTTCTATGTTACTCTATTGCTCTTCTCTGTTACTGTATTGGTCTTCTGTTACTGTACTGATCTTCTCTGTTATTATAATGGTCTTTTATGTTAGTGTACTATACCACTCCGTCTGTGTTACTGTACTGGTCTTCTGTGTTAATGCACTTGTCTTCTGTGTTACTATGCTGGTCTTCTGTGTTACTGCACTGGTCTTCTGTGTTACTATACTGGACTTCTCTGTTACTGTACTGTGCCAGTTCTCTGTGTGGTAAGGAAGAATGATGGGTAAGGAAGAAGGATGGTAACGAAGAAAGATGGAAAGGAAGAAGGATGGTTAAGGAAGAAAGATGGTAAGGAAAAATGCTGGTAAAGAAAGAAGGATGGGTAAGGAAGAAGGATGGTAAGGAAGAAGGATGGTAAGGAAGAAGGGTGGGTAAGGAAGAAGGATGGTAAGAAGGATGGGTAAGGAACAAGGATAGTAAGGAAGAAGGATGGTAAGGAAGAAGGTTGGTAAGGAAGAAAGATGGTAAGGAAGAAGGATGGTAAGGAAGAAGGATAGTGAGGAAGGATGGTAAGGAAGAAGGATTGTAAGGAAGAATGACGGGTAAGGAACAAGGAGAGTAAGGAAGAAGGATGGTAGGGAAGAAGGTTGGTAAGGAAGAAAGATGTTAGGGGAGACGGATGGGTAAGGAAGAAGGATGGTAAGGAAGAAGGATGGGTAAAGAAGAAGGACGGGAAGAAAGAAGGATGTTAAGAAGGATAGGTAAGGAAGAAGGATGTTAAAGAAGAAGGATGGTAAGGAAGAAGGATGGTAAAGAAGAAGGATAATAAGGTAGAAGGATGGGTAAGGAAGAAGGATGGTCAGGAAGAAAGATGGTAAGGAAGAAGGATAGGTAAGGAAGAAGGATGGTAAGGAAGAAAGATGGACAAGGAAGAAGGATGGTAAGGAAGAAGGATGAGTAAGGAAGAAGGATGGGCAAGGAAGAAGGATGGTAAGGAATAAGGATGGGTAAGGACGAAGGATGGTAAGGAAGAAGGATGCAAAAGGAAGAAGAATGGTATGGAAGAAGGATTGCAAGGAAGAAAGATGGGTACGGAAGAATTATGGTAAGGAAGAAGGATGGGTAAGGACGAAGGATGGTAAGGAAGAAGGATGGTAAGGAAGAAGGATGTGTAAGGAAGAAGGATGGTAAGGAAGAAGGATGGGTAAGGAAGAAGGATCCGTAAGGAAAAAGGATGTTAAGGAAGAAGGGTGTGTAAGTTAGAAAGATGGGAAAGGAAGAAGGATGGTAAGGAAGAAGAATATGTAAGGAAGGATGGTAACGAAGAAGTATTGGTAAGGAAGAAGGATTGTAATGACGAAGGATGGTAAGGAAGGATAAATAAGGAAGAAGGATGGTAAGGAAGAAGGATGGGTAAGGAAGAAGAATGGGTAAGGAAGAACGATGGTAAGGAAGAAATATGGTAAGGAAGAAGGATGGTAAGGAAGAAGGGTAGGTAAGGAAGAAGGGTGGTAAGAAGGTTGGGCAAGGAACAAGGATAGTAAGGAAGAAGGATGGTAAGGAAGAACGTTGGTAAGGAAGAAAGATGGTAAGGAAGAAGGATGGTAAGGAATAAGGATGGTGAGAAAGGATGGTAAGGAAAAAGGATTGTAAGGAAGATTGACGGGTAAGGAACAAGGATAGTAAGGAAGAAGGATGGTAAGGAAGAAGGTTGGTAAGGAAGAAAGATGGTAAGGGAGACGGATGGGTAAGGAAGAAGGATGGTAAGGAAGAAGGATGGGTAAAGAAGAAGGACGGGAAGAAACAAGGATGTTAAGAAAGATGGGTAAGGAAGAAGGACGTTAAAGAAGAAGGATGGTAAGGAAGAAGGATGGTAAAGAAGAAGGATAATAAGGAAGAAAGCTGGGTAAGGAAGAAAGATGGGTAAGGAAGAAGGATGGGGTAAGGAAAGAAAGATGGGTAAGGGAAGAAGGATGGTAAGGAATAGAAGGATGGGTAAGGAAGAAGGATGGTAAGGAAGATAGGATGGGTAAGGAAGAAGGAATGGGTAAAGGAAGAAAGATGGGTAAGGAAGAAAGGATGGGTAAGGAAGAAGGAGATGGGTAAGGAAGAAGGATGGTTAAGGAAGAAGGCATGGGTAAAGGAAGAAAGATGGGTATAGGACAGAAAGATGTGGAAAGGAAAGAAGGGATGGGTAAGGAAGAAAAGATGGGTAAGGAAGAAGGATGGGTAAGGAAGAAGGATGGGTAAGGAAGAAAGATGTGTAAGGAAGAAAAGGATGGGTAGGAAGAGGAATGGGGTAAGAAGGAAGGATGGGTAAGGAAGATGGATGGGTAAGGAAGAAAGATAGGGTAAAGAAGAAGATGGGTAAGAAGAAGGATGGGTAAGGAAGAAAGTGGGTAAGGAAGAAGGATGGTAATGAGAAGGATGGGTAAGGAAGAAGGATGGGTAAGGAAGAAGGATGGGTAATGGAAGAAGGAATGGGTAAGGAAGAATGAATGGGTAAGGAAAGAAAGATGTGGTAAGGAAGAAGGATGGAGTAGAGGAAGAAGGTAAAGGGGTAAGGAAGAGGATAAGTAAGGAAGAAGGATGGGTAAGGAAGAAGATGGTAAGGAAGAAAGCAATGGGTAAGGAAGAAGGATGGGTGTTAGGAAGAAGGATGGGTAGAAGAAGGAATGGGTAAGGAAGAAGGATGGGTGTAAGGAAGAAGGATGTGTAAGGAAGAAGATGGGTAAAAGAGAAGGATGGGGTAAGGAAGAAGGATGGGTAAGAAAAGAAAGCTGGTAGGAAGAAGGATGGGTAGGACAATGAAGGATGGGTAAGGAAGAAGATGGGTAAATGGAAAGAAGGTGGGTAAGGAAAGAAGGTTGGGTAAGGAAGAAAGATGGGTAAGGAAGAAGGTGGCGTAAGGAAGAAGGAATGGGTAGGAAGAAGGAGGGGTAAAGAAGAAGATGTGTAAGAAGAAGGATGGGTAAGGAAAAGAAAGTGGGTAAGGAAGAAGGAATGTATAAGGGAAGAAGGCGGGTAAGAAGAATGATGGGTAAGGAAGAAGGATGGGTAAGGAGAAAGATGGGTAAGGAAGAAGGATGGTATGGAAGCAGGGATTGGGTAAGGAAGAAGGATGGGTAAGGAGAAAAGAGGGTAAGGAGATGATGGGTAAGGAAGAAGGATGGGGTAAGGAAGAGGATGGGTAAGGAAAGAAGGATGGGTATAAAGAAGAAGGTATGGGTAAGAAGAAGGATGGAGTAAGAGAAGGATGGGTAAGGAAGAAGGATGGGTAAGAAGAAGGATGGGTAAGGAAAGAAGATGGGTAAGGAAGAAGGTTGGGTAAGGAAGAAGGATGGGGATAGGAAGAAGGACTGGGTAAGGAAGAGGATGTGTAAGGAAGAAGGATGGGTAAGGAAGAAAGATGGGTAAGGAAGAAGGATGGGTAAGGAAGAAGGATGGTGTAGGAAGAAGGATGGGTAACGGAAGAAAGATGGGTAAAGGAAGAAGGATGGGGTAAGGAAGAAGGATGGGTAAGGAGAAGGATTGGGGTAAGAAGGAAGGATGGGTAAAGAAGAAGAGATGGGTAAGGGAAGAAGGATGGGTAAGCGAAGAAGGATGGTAAGGAAGAAGGATGATGGGTAAGACGAAGGATGGGTAAGGAAGAAAGATGGGTAAGGAAGAAGGGATGGGTTAAGGAAGAAGGATGGGTAAGGAAGAAGGATGGGTAAGAAGAAGGATGTGTAAGAAGAAGGATGGGTAAGGAAGGAAAGATGGTAAGGAAGAAGGTTGGGTAAGAAGAGGATGGGTAAGAAGAAGGGATGGGTAAGGAAGAAGGCATGGGTAAGGAAGATGGATGAGGTAAGGAGAAGGATGAGAAGGATAGAAATATTGGAAAAGGTTGGTGAAGGGGGGAGAGATGTAGGATATAAAAGGTAAGTGACCCAACACTTGGGTTTAATTTAAAAAGAGTATGTGAAATAATAAAATTATTCTTGAAGGGGTATAATACTAACCATCAGAGTCACATAGTTATAACAGATACATTAAACAATGACTCTGAATTGGTTAGTAAATATACAAGTTGCAATTGCCTTTTTTGGGCGTTTGCACATACGGATATTTTTAAGCGACAATGAAGGCATAATTTCCTGGCGTTGATTAAAGAATTGCTATTCCATCAGAATAATTTATACAGTAGAATGTTGTTGTACAAAATATTCTTTTCTTTCTTCCTAATTGCGGGGGCGATGATTTTCTTATTAACCATAGAAGGGTTCTGGGTGTTACCCAATCATCTTCGTCTGCAGGGAGGTTGCTCAAGATCATGCGTTCGATGGTAATCGTCTTTATGGATAAAACGACGGACCCTCTGTGGGAGAGTCATTCTTTGAGGTCCTGTGAGGAGTATAGATGATATATTCCGTGGTATTTTTAATTGTATGAGGCTGTTCTTATCTGGCATGTAGAGTTCTTGCATTTTGTATAGAGTTGTTATTTCTTTTCAGGGTATCAAGGTTACATTTAGGCCGTAATATCTATGTTGTATGTGTAAATCGGCCTTTTATTTCTGTCTTCCCTCCTCGGCTTTTTAGGTGCCCGTAATGGAAGCGGAGAGCTTCTTTTCTGGACCCGTTGTAACCGTAGCATGTTGGTCTTTGTTGTTAATGACATTGGTACACATGGATATTCGAGTATAGGTCTTATTACCATTTTATACAGATGTTTTTTGACATGTGGAGGAGCTTGATTAATCTAAAGAGACTGTTAAGACCGGCTTTGGCTATGTTGATCTTTTTATTTACATGAGATGTTGAGTGGAGCAGCCTGTCTATTTCATATCCCAAGATCTTGTTAGGGTTTCTAATGGCTACAGGTGTACCTCTGATGGAGATACTCCCTTTATCTTCAATGGTTGATGCAAAACATCCTATCGTGCTAACCAGGGTGACATATTATATAGAAAGCCATTGGTTATACAGAGCATTTCTTGCACTTTAGGTTAATTTTGTCCCCCGGATGCGACCCACATCAGTCGACTAACACCCAGGTACCTACCTGCTGCTAGGTGACCAGAGGCAGCAGGTGTCTTAAAGAAACACGTCCAGTGTTTCCATGCCGTACCGAGATCGAACCACGGACACTCAGTGTGTGAGGCGAGAGCGTTGCCAACCGTAGAAGAGATTAAAGAGATGTGGCTGGTCAGGTGGGGGAGGGAGGGAGGTGAGGGAGGTGAGGGAGAAGAGGGATGTGAGAGAGGTGAGGGAGGTGAGGGAGGGAGGGAGGGAGGGAGGGAGGTAGGTGAAGGAGGGCTGCATGTCACGGTACCAGTCGTCTGTTCTACTTAATAATTCAGTATCATTTAAGGTGTCGTCAGACCATTACTTCCCTAGCTGTCCCCCGCCACTCTTCCCCTAGTTCTCATTCTTATCCATTATTTCACATGGACACGGAAGTATCTCAGCTTGGACACGGAGGGCACAGCCAAGCATGAACACAAGGCAGCTTATCATGGATACTGAAGACGGCTTTTCATAGATACGGAAGGTGGTCTAGCATGAGCTTAAACGGCAGCTTGGGCATATGTGAAGCGAATATCTTCTCTGCATCAACTCAGTGTCATGTGGTTGCTATGTAAGTTCAAGTCTGTTATGATGCTTGGAACAATCTGCCGAGTAGGGTAACAGAGGCTAACACCTTCTCTAGATTTGATGATGAATAAGACACATGTGCAACAGTTGGGTATCTTTATCGTTTCAACGTTTCGCCTACACAGTAGACTTCTTCAGTCAAATGTAAGGCAGTCGGTATAGTAGTGAAATGATGTAATCAGTCCATCAACGTTAGAGAAATAGTATTTGAGGTGGTGAGTCCCACAGCCTGGAGAAGAGTTCAGCTCCATGGTCTGGAACAAGGTGGTGAGTCCCTCAGCTTGGAGAAGAGTTCAGCTCTATGGTCTGGAACAAGGTGGTGAGTTCCTCAGCTTGGAGAAGAGTTCAGCTCCATGATCTGGAACAAGGTGGTCAGTGTCTCAGCTTGGAGAAGAGTTCAGCTCTATGGTCGGGAACAAGGTTTGGGGAGTCCCCCAGCTTTGGGGAAGAGTTCAGTCCATGGTCTGGAACAAAAGGGGGTAGTCCCTCAGCCTTGGGGAAGAGTTTAGCTCATGGTCTGAACAGGTGGAGGGGGCGGGGGGTGGAGTCCTCAGCTTGGAGAAGAGTTCAGCTCCATGATCTGGAACAAGGTGGTCAGTGTCTCAGCTTGGAGAAGAGTTCAGCTCTATGGTCGGGAACAAGGTGGTGAGTCCCTCAGCTTGGAGAAGAGTTCAGTACCATGATCTGGAACAAGGTGGTCAGTCCCTCAGCCTGGAGTAGAGTTCAGCTCTATGGTCTGGAACAAGGTGGTCAGCCCCTCAGCCTGGAGAAGAGTTCAGCTCTATGATCTGGAACGATATGTATTTGACTCTGTAGGCGAAACGTTTCAACAATAAAGTTGCCCAACTTTTCGACATTTTATACTATTTTCAACATACACCTCTCAGTACATGTTGCTTACATTATGTATGCGCATTTCAGCTCACTACATCAGAAAAGATATAGTGATTACATGATCAAATACAGAAGGAACTTTTAGTTACAGTAATATGAGGTGCTATCAGTCTGGAGTGTTGCTTTGCAGGTGTGACGTGTGTTGTGTTGCAGGTGTGACGTGTGTTATAGTGCAGGTGTGACGTGTGTTATATTGCAGGTGTGACGTGTGTTATTGTTGCAGGTGTGACGTGTGTTATTGTTGCAGGTATGAGGTATGTAGCAGCAGTGTGGTGCGTGGTGGCTGGTGTTGGCCAGGTCACACCAGTGGTGGCTGGTGTTGGCCAGGTCACACCAGTGGTGGCTGGTGTTGGCCAGGTCACACCAGTGGTGACTGGTGTTGGCCAGGTCACACCAGTGGTGGCTGATGTTGGCCAGGTCACACCAGTGGTGACTGGTGTTGGCCAGGTCATACCAGTGGTGACTGGTGTTGGCCATGTCACACCAGTGGTGGCTGGTGTTGGCCAGGTCACACCAGTGGTGGCTGGTGTTGGCCAGGTCACACCAGCGGTGGCTGATGTTGGTCAGGTCACACCAATGGTGACTGGTGTTAGCCAGGTCACACCAGTGGTGACTGGTGGTGGCCAGGTCACACCAGTGGTGGCTGGTGGTGGCCAGGTCACACCAGTGGTGGCTGGCGTTGGCCAGGTCACACCAGTGGTGGCTGGTGTTGGCCAGGTCACACCAGTGGTGGCTAATGTTGGCCAGGTCACACCAATGGTGACTGGTGTTGGCCAGGTCATACCAGTGGTGGCTGGTATTGGCCAGGTCACACCAGTGGTGGCTGGTGTTGGCCAGGTCACACCAGTGGTAACTGGTGTTGGCCAGGTCACACCAGTGGTAGCAGCTTGTCAAGAATGGCAGCGGGAACAAGAGATCAACCACACAGATACTGGTAAGCTACTGTTGTTGTTAATGTCTTCGTGGAGAAAGAGTCCCAAGACTCGTGTCTTTGTTATGAGATGACCCGTTCAGTGGTGCTGGCTCACCACAGCCACTGAACAGGCCTTGGCTAGCCAGCGCTTGTTCACTAGTTTTGTTCTCCTGTTGTTATTATGTTCACCAGAGAACATTACCCTCATCAGTCCCGTATTATAATAAGGGATAATTATCAGTGCAATATATGTATATATATATATATATATATATATATAATATATATATATATATATATATATATATATATATATATATATAATATATATATATATTTCATTGTGTTTGTTTTTATCAAATTATTTTAAACTTATATAAAATACATTTAGTTGGATTAGATTAAATTAAATTACGCTTGTTATAATAAGGTTAGGTAAGTTTTCTAAGGTTCTTTTGGTACAAAAATCATTAATTTTTATATTAACACAAATTAAAAAATATATCTTTAAAAGTATAAGAGAAAATTTTAGAAAGGACTTAATTTTAAATGAGTTATTGCTAATTGACCAGTTTTACCTATTCGGCACGACATTATATATATCGCGAATATGCGATACAAGATGCAAAACGGGGGAAGTTGAATGATAGCTCTAGGTCTTTCGTGTTACAATCAACACATCATCAGGAGCTTGCAATGTTGCAGAAAATAGGATGCTTGACCTTCATCCTCTTTTCTGCAACGTTGGAAGCTCCTGATGATGTGTTGATCGCAATGCGAAAGGCCTAGAGCTATCATTCAACTCGGTTATTCGATACATGTGATTGTTGGTCATAATCATCCTAGCGCGCTGCCTGAACTATACAAATTTAGTGTTTTCCATGAATTAAATACGAGAATGATAATCATCCTGTTTTCCCAATATCATTAGTCATGTGTTGCATCTATTGCATGCAAGGTTTCAAGGTGGATCAATGGCTGAGGATCTGATAAAGCAATTGGCACGGGATCGATCCCCCAGAGAGAGAGAGACAGTTTGTAAGACTGATGACTTGAGACGGAATATGATGGTGAGACACTCTCCAGGAGTGACTGAGGAACATACTCGTCAGATATACTCGTCGAGGACTGGAGAACAAACAAGTGAGATCAAATAACCTCGTTATATGCCTGTTCAACCAGGTTGTTGCTGTTAGTGTCCCGCTGTCTCACAGCCTGGTTGATCAAAAATAATAATAATAATAATAATAATAATAATAATAATAATAATAATAATCTTTATTTCTACAAGTACATGTACAAGGTATACAGACCATAGCTGACATCAATACATACTACAATATAGAAAGTCGCTTGTTATGCTGAGCATTTCCCGCAAATTAGGTCAATTTTGTCCCCAGGATGCGACCCACACCAGTCCACTAACACCCAGGTACCCATTTTACTGCTAGGTGAATATGGACAGCAGGTGTCTTTAGGAAACACGTCCTAATGTTTTTACTTGTACCGGGGATCGAACCGCGGACTTCAGTGTGTGAGTTGAGTGCGCTACTAACCGAGCTACATAAATTGCAATATGCAAAGCTTGCGGAGCGTCCTAATCTAAAAATATGTGAAAAGCAAAAAAATCCAGAGGGATATTTCTAGGTATCTCAGTAGCAATGCGTTTATGTCACAACTGAAGGACCCGAGTTCAATGTTGGGCGGGGCGAGACATGTAGGCATGTCTCCTAACACTTGCTGCACTGGGTGTTAGTCACTGGTGTGGGTCGCATCCTGGGACAAAATTAACCTAATTTGTACGAAATGCTCTGCATAACAAGTGGCTTTCTATATAGATTGTCACTGATGTCAGTTATGGTCTGTATACGTTGCATCATCTACTTGTAGAAATAATAATAATAATAATAGTAATAATAAATAATAATAATAATAATAATAATAATAATAATAATAATAATAATAATAATATTATTATTATTATTATTATTATTATTATTATTATTATTATTATTGTGGGTCCCATCCTGGAGAAGAGAACCACAGAGACTACAGTGAGGCCACACTACGTGGTTTTCATGGGTTATCCTGGGTTACAAGCCCTTCGACAATTGGCTAAATAATAACAATCAGGCTGGATAGCTGGTTAATTGGGGTTAAAGCCTATTTAACTACTTAAAGAGCCATTAGGCCTGCACGTTAAATATTTACCACCCATCAGTAATACTTTAACCCCTTAATATGCATTAAATCAAACTCTCAGTGCAGGGCCAGGAGCTATGAGTCGACCCCTGGAACCACAATTAGGTGAGTACAGGAGGGCCCCGCTTATACAGCAGGTTAAGCTTCTGGCTTCAGCTGCAAAGCAAAAATTTCTGTAAAGTGAAGCCAGCCATTTTTTTTTCACTTTCAAAGCATACAAAAGTCTCACAACATTTACACTATCATATAATTAAGTGAGCATAGACTTAGGCCTAAAAAATGCACATACAGTACATACATTACTTACCTTAAAATATTTTTTTTCTTTGGTTATAGTTAGTGGTTAATGTATTTATTATAGAAGTTTGAATAAATGAACAATGGGTATAATTTAAAACTGCTGTATTAGTGATATGCTGTAAAGCGAAGCGCTGTAAAGTGAAGCGTTGTAAAGCGAAGCGCTGTAAAGTGAAGCGCTGTAAAGTGAAGCGCTGTAAAGTGAAGCGCTGTAAAGTGAAGTGCTGTAAAGTGAAGCGCTGTAAAGTGAAGCGCTGTAAATGAACGCTGTAAAGTGAAGCGCTGTAAAGCGAAGCGCTGTAAAGTGAAGCGCTGTAAAGTGAAGCGCTGTAAAGTGAAGCGCTGTAAAGTGAAGCGCTGTAAAGCGAAGCGCTGTAAAGTGAAGCGCTGTAAAGTGGGACCCTCCGGTTTATACAATAAACAATAATCACAGGATATACATGGTGTGTATATCCTGTGACTACACCTCTAGTTTCCATTTACACGGTGTGCAGGAGTGAGGACAGCAGGAGAATGGCAGCAATGGCAGTGGGAAGCACAGGAGGCGGCAGCGACGGCAGGACATAATGGTACCATTTTTAAATTCAGGTAAGCACCATGACTTCTCAAAAATATTGACCAGGATAGTTAAAGATGAGCACAATATGATTACTACGACTACTGCTACTTTTATTATTATTACTACTACTACTACTACCGCTATTACTACTGCTACCACTACTACTAATACTACAACGACTGTTACCACTATTATTGCTACTACTACTACTGTTATTACTACAACAACTACTACTATTACTATTACTACTACTACCACCACTATTACTACTACTACTACTACTACAATTATTATTGCTATTAATACTACTACTACTACTACAATTATTACTATTAATACTACTACTACAACTACTTCTATTATCACTACAACTACTGCTACTATTACTACGACAACAACTACTGTTACTACTATTAATATTACTACTATTATTACTACTACTAATACTACTGTCACTGTTACTACTAATGCTACTCCTACGACTACTACCACTGCTATTACTATAATAACAACAATAATAATAATAATAATAATAATAATAATAACAATAATAAATAATAATAATAATAATAATAATAATAATAATTTTTAAGAAATAAATTACATACAAAATCCGAATATACATATCACCTGTGACCCCTTGTGACCACATGTAACCCTGTGTGACCCCGTGTGACCACGCGTAACCCTGTGTGACCCCGTGTGACCACATGTAACCCTGTGTGACCCCAGTGACCACGTATAACCCTGTGTGATCCCGTGTGACCTCCACATGACCTTTGATCCTCCGAGTGGCAACTAACCCCTCTCGTGTGACCTCTTGTGACCTGGCAGGTTCTCTGCGGCGCCGCAGCTGCGGGTCGCTGCGGAGGAGTGGTTTCCTCACACCAGAGTGCGCTGGGCGGGGGGCGGCGCCCCCGTGGTCAGTGGTCCGTGTAGAAAGTTGTTAGATCTCCTGGCTAGATGCCTGAACTTTAAGTAAGTCTGTTGTGACCTTCAGGAGTATTAGCCTTAGCTGGGAGAGTTAACCAGGGTAATGAGGATTATCATCAATCACTGCAATCACTGCCAGTTGGACTATTGTCACACCCTACGTCATTATGTACTGGAGTGCGTTAAAATTAATGAATTTAGAGACAACTCACTCAGAAATGTTTAAGATATGGCAAAGTATTTTATCCACAGTAGTATATTACAAACCATTCTGGAGAAATACCCTGACTTTGCTCACTATAAATAAGACTGATATTTGCATTAATAACTCATTGCAATTGTGATCAGGTGTAGACGTGTGAATAGTTCAGTTACCTTTGAAACATGTTCAGCTAATAAAAGTTTGGGGCCCAGTCCCTGGACCCATTACGTACCTCTGTAATATTGACGTTCAGTCCCTGGACCCATTATGTGCCTCTGTAATATTGACGTTCAGTCCCTGGACCCATTATGTGCCTCTGTAATATTGACGTTCAGTCCCTGGACCCATTATGTGCCTCTGTAATATTGACGTTCAGTCCCTGGACCCATTATGTACCTCTGTAATATTGACGTTCAGTCCCTGGACCCATTACGTACCTCTGTAATATTGACGTTCAGTCCCTGGACCCATTATGTACCTCTGTAATGTTGACGTTTCAGTTCCCTGGACCCATTATGTACCTCTGTAATATTGACGTTCAGTCCCTGGACCCATAATGTACCTCTGTAATATTGACGTTCAGTCCCTGGACCCATTATGTGCCTCTGTAATATTGACGTTCAGTCCCTGGACCCATTATGTACCTCTGTAATATTGACGTTCAGTCCCTGGACCCATTACGTACCTCTGTAATATTGACGTTCAGTCCCTGGACCCATTATGTACCTCTGTAATGTTGACGTTCAGTCCCTGGACCCATTATGTACCTCTGTAATATTGACGTTCAGTCCCTGGACCCATAATGTACCTCTGTAATATTGACGTTCAGTCCCCTGGACCCATTATGTACCTCTGTAATATTGACGTTCAGTCCCTGGACCCATTATGTACCTCTGTAATATTGACGTTCAGTCCCTGGACCCATTATGTACCTCTGTAATATTGACGTTCAGTCCCTGGACCCATAATGTACCTCTGTAATATTGACGTCAGTCCCTGGACCCATTATGTACCTCTGTAATATTGACGTTCAGTCCCTGGACCCATTATGTACCTCTGTAATATTGACGTTCAGTCCCTGGACCCATAATGTACCTCTGTAATATTGACGTTCAGTCCCTGGACCCATAATGTACCTCTGTAATATTGACGTTCAGTCCCTGGACCCATAATGTACCTCTGTAATATTGACGTTCAGTCCCTGGACCCATTACGTACCTCTGTAATGTTGACGTTCAGTCCCTGGACCCATTATGTACCTCTGTAATATTGACGTTCAGTCCCTGGACCCATTATGTACCTCTGTAATATTGACGTTCAGTCCCTGACCCATTATGTACCTCTGTAATATTGACGTTCAGTCCCTGGACCCATAATGTACCTCTGTAATATTGACGTTCAGTCCCTGGACCCATAATGTACCTCTGTAATATTGACGTTCAGTCCCTGGACCCATAATGTACCTCTGTAATATTGACGTTCAGTCCTGGACCCATAATGTACCTCTGTAATATTGACGTTCAGTCCCTGGACCCATAATGTACCTCTGTAATATTGACGTTCAGTCCCTGGACCCATTATGTACCTCTGTAATATTGACGTTTCAGTCCCTGGACCCATAATGTACCTCTGTAATATTGACGTTCAGTCTCCCTGGACCCATTATGTACCTCTGTAATGTTGACGTTCAGTCCCTGGACCCATTATGTACCTCTGTAATATTGACGTTCAGTCCCTGGACCCATTATGTACCTCTGTAATATTGACGTTCAGTCCCTGGACCCATTATGTACCTCTGTAATGTTGACGTTCAGTCCCTGGACCCATTATGTACCTCTTTAATATTGACGTTCAGTCCCTGGACCCATTATGTACCTCTGTAATATTGACGTTCAGTCCCTGGACCCATTATGTACCTCTGTAATATTGACGTTCAGTCCCTGGACCCATAATGTACCTCTGTAATGTTGACGTTCAGTCCCTGGACCCATAATGTACCTCTGTAATATTGACGTTCAGTCCCTGGACCCATTATGTACCTCTGTAATATTGACGTTCAGTCCTGGACCCACTTATGTACCTCTGTAATGTTGACGTTCAGTCCCTGGACCCATTATGTACCTCTGTAATGTTAAGGTTCAGTCCCTGGACCCATTATGTACCTCTGTAATATTGACGTTCAGTCCCTGGACCCATTATGTACCTCTGTAATGTTGACGTTCAGTCCCTGGACCCATTATGTACCTCTGTAATATTGACGTTCAGTCCCTGGACCCATTATGTACCTCTGTAATGTTGACGTTCAGTCCCTGGACCCATTATGTACCTCTGTAATGTTAAGGTTCAGTCCCTGGACCCATTATGTACCACTGTAATGTTAAGGTTCAGTCCCTGGACCCATTTTGTACCTCTGTAATATTGAGGTTCAGTCTCTGGACCCATTATGTACCTCTGTAATGTTGAGGTTCAGTCCCTGGACCCATTATGTGCCTCTGTAATGTTGAGGTTCAGTCCCTGGACCCATTATGTGCCTCTGTAATGTTAAGGTTCAGTCCCTGGACCCATTATGTACCTCTGTAATGTTAAGGTTCAGTCCCTGGACCCATTATGTACCACTGTAATGTTAAGGTTCAGTCCCTGGACCCATTATGTACCTCTGTAATATTGAGGTTCAGTCTCTGGACCCATTATGTACCTCTGTAATATTGAGGTTCAGTCCCTGGACCCATTATGTGCCTCTGTAATGTTAAGGTTCAGTCCCTGGACCCATTATGTACCTCTGTAATGTTAAGGTTCAGTCCCTGGACCCATTATGTACCTCTGTAATGTTAAGGTTCAGTCCCTGGACCCATTATGTACCTCTGTAATCTTCCTGACTCCCGTCCACAGGCTGGGTATGAGGTACATAGTAAAGATATTAACTAATTAAACTACGAACGCTTTACAATAATAATATCTTGATTTACCACAAGTACATGTATAAGGTATACAGACCATAGTTGACATCACTGACATACTACTATTTAGAAAGCCGCTTGTTATGCTGAGTATTTCGTGCAAATTAGGTCAGTTTTGTCCCAGGATGCGACCCACACCAGTCCAATAACACCCAGGATGCGACCCACACCAGTCCACTAACACCCAGGTACCCGTTTTACTGATGGGTGGACATAGACAACCAGTATAAGGAAACACGCCCAGTGTTTCTACCTTCGACGGGATCGAGGTACAGCAGAGCTGTAGTTACCTAGGGAGTGGAAGTGTTCAAGATAGCTAGTAAAGAGTGAACGGCAAGCCGTGTGGGTTAGAATAAGGAAAGCCCTGTCCTCACGCCATCTCCGTTTCCCCCTGCAGGTACACCTTCGTCAGGGGAGACGGCTACCTCGGAGACGTTCAGAAGGACGGCTCCTGGAGTGGCATGTTGGGAATGCTGCGCAGGAACGTCAGTATAACATTCTCCTGTACGGGGAGGATTGTAGCATCCACACGGATAATAATAATAATAATAATAATAATAATAATAATAATAATAATAAAATAATAATAATAATAAATAAAAGATTCACTGCTGAAATAAGTCACGCATGTTTCGTATGTATGTATGTAGATTTTATGTAAGTACGCATTAAGCATACATGGACACCACTATCTAATAAAACACACACACACACACACACACAACACACACACACACACACACACACACACACACACACACACACACACACACACACACACACACACACAACACAAACACACACACACACTGGTATTTGTGAACGACATGACGTAAGGAACAGACTCCGAAGTGTCCCTGTTTGCAGATGACGTGAATTTGATGGGAAGAATTCATTCGATCGAAGACCAGGCAGAACTACAAAGGTATCTGGACAGGCTACAGACCTGGTCCAGCAATTGGCTCCTGGAGTTCAACCCCACCAAATGCAAAGACATGAATATTGGGGAAGGGCAAAGAAGACCGCAGACAGAGTACAGTCTAGGGGGCCAGAGACTACAAACCTCACTCAAAGAAAAAGATCTTGGGGTGAGTATAACACCAGGCACATCTCCTGAAGCGCACATCAACCAAATAACTGCTGCAGCATATGGGCGCCTGGCAAACCTCAGAACAGCATTCCGACATCTTAATAAGGAATCGTTCAGGACCCTGTACACCGTGTACGTTAGGCCCATATTGGAGTATGCGGCACCAGTTTGGAACCCACACCTAGCCAAGCACGTGAAGAAACTAGAGAAAGTGCAAAGGTTTGCAACAAGACTAGTCCCAGAGCTAAGAGGTATGTCCTACGAGGAGAGGTTAAGGGAAATCAACCTGACGACACTGGAGGACAGGAGAGATAGGGGGACATGATAACGACATACAAAATACTGAGAGGAATTGACAAGGTGGATAAAGACAGGATGTTCCAGAGATTGGACACAGCAACAAGGGGACACAGTTGGAAGTTGAAGACACAGATGAATCACAGGGATGTTAGGAAGTATTTCTTCAGCCACAGAGTAGTCAGGAAGTGGAATAGTTTGGGAAGCGATGTAGTGGAGGCAGGATCCATACACAGCTTTAAGCAGAGGTATGATAAAGCTCACGGTTCAGGGAGACTGACCTAGTAGCGACCAGTGAAGAGGCGGGTCCGGGAGCTAGGACTCGACCCCTGCAACCTCAACTAGGTGAGTACAACTAGGTGAGTACAACTAGGTGAGTACACACACACACAATTCATCAATAACTCACATTCAGAGAGGAAACTCAAGACAATGTTTCGGTCGATAGCAGACCGAAACGTCGCCTAAAGTTCCCCCTCTTTATCGTCCCACTTGTCCAGGAGGCGGACATAGCTCTTGGACCCTTTGGTCTGAGTGTAAGCAGAAGACAAGTGGTGGACTTCACTGTTCCTCTGAGCCAAGAGATATACCGGATAATGACTGCTCGACCTCACCCTCTACACGACACCTGGGTCATACTCACACCCTTCACGTGAGTCCCTTATCATCCTGGCACCCTTCACGTGAGTCCTTCATCATCTTGGCACTCTTCAAGTGAGTCCCTTATCATCCTGGCACCCTTCACGTGAGTCCTTCATCATTCTGGCACCCTTTAGAGTGAGTCCCTTATCATCCTGGCACCCTTCACATGAGTCTTTCATCATCCTGACACACTGTACGTGAGTCTCTCATCATCCTGGCATCCTTCACGTGAGTCCTTCATTATCCTGGCATCCTTCACGTGAGTCCTTCATCATCCTGGCATCCTTCATGCGAGTCCCTCACATCCTGGCATCCTTTACGCCAGTCCATCATCCTGGCATCCTTCACCGAGAGGTGTGTTTATCTCTTGGTATATACAATGAGAATTTACATTAATCCCTTTTATATTTTGAGTTGTGATTCTCTCTCTCTCTCTCTCTCTCTCTCTCTCTCTCTCTCTCTCTCTCTCTCTCTCTCTCTCTCTCTCTCTCTCTCTCTCTCTCTCTCTCTCTCTCTCAGGTGGTCTGTCTGGGTAAGTCTGCTGGCGTCCTTGCTGGGGATGTGGTTGACCAGTCTGCTGGTGGCCCGCTTCACCCTGGACCCTCAGGGTCCCTGGACCCCTGGGGACCACTTACTGACCGTGTATGCTGTTCTGGTCTCCCAGGGTAAGATCGTCTGCAGTTCTGTGGATATAGATTGCTGCCTCTGCACTGACCTTCAACCATACCTAACTACATAGAATATAAGACAACAGTGTATTTATGTACGCAGACCAGTAATAATAATAATGATGATGATGATGATGATCATAATAATAATAATAATAATAATAATAATAATAATAATAATAATAATAATAATAATAATGATAAAAATATGATAAATAATAATAATAATAATAATAATAATAAATTAATAATAATAATAATAATGATAAAAATAATGATAATAATAATAATAATAATAATAATAATAATAATAAATAATAAATTAATAATAATAATAATAATAATAATAATAATAATAATGTGAATGGGTCTACCTGGAGGGTATTCCGGGGATCAACGCTCCCGCGGCCAGGTCATAGACCCCGGTCAACGACCCTGGTCAACGACCCCGGTCAACGACTCTGGTCAACGACCCCGGTCAACGACTCTGGTCAACGACTCCGGTCAACGACTCTGGTCAACGACCCCGGTCAACGACCCTGGTCAACGACCCAGGTCAACGACTCTGGTCAACGACTCCGGTCAACGACTCTGGCCAACGACTCTGGTCAACGACCCCGGTCAACGACTCTGGTCAACGACCCCGGTCAACGACTCTGGTCAACGACCCCGGTCAACGACTCTGGTCAACGACCCCGGTCAACGACTCTGGTCAACGACTCTGGTCAACGACTCTGGTCAACGACCCCAGTCAACGATCCCAGTCCACGACCCTGGTCCACGGTCCACGACCATGACCAATTTTAATTTTACTAAAATTATTATTATTATTATTATTATTATTATTATTATTATTATTATTATTATTATTATTATTATTATTATTATTAACCAAGAACTAACCAAAGAACAATCAGCACTAAGAATTACTAACAATATCCTCAAGAAGACTAACCTACCTTATATATGTGTGTGTGTGTGTGTGTGTGTGTGTGTGTGTGTGTGGTGTGCGTGTGTGTGTGTGTTGTGTGTGTGTGTGTGTGTGTGTGTGTGTGTAGGCCTGACCAGGGAGCCCAGGGAAGCTGCCATGAGAATCATCTGTCTCACCTGGATGTTCGTCTCTCTCATCATTACCTCGTACTTCAAGTGAGATGATGCTTCATTGTTTCCTATGTCTCTCATGACCATTTAATATCTTTGGAAATGAAAAATGACTGAAAAGAGGGATTAAAATCGCTAGAAATAATTTTTGTATGTGAATGGTATATAATATATATTTTATGATCTAATGATTGTCTTCGTGGGATTCCTGCTGCTGTAGGAGTTCCTTTACGTCGCTACTGACGGTGAAGTATCTGAAGACGCTAGATTCTTTGAAGGACCTCCTGGCTGACCAGTCTTTAGCTCTGGTGCTGGAGGGAAACACCACCTTCGTCTCCGTCGTTCAGGTTTGAGAAAGACTTGTCTATTATGGGCCAGTAGGCCTTCTGCAGCGTTCTCCCTTTATGTTATCATGTACCTGCTTCCCTCAACAATGTCTTTATGTTATGTAGCAGCGATATTCAGTGTTTTAATTAAAGTCTGTCGTCGAAGTGGCTAGTTTACTGTGCACTCATATCCATCCTGTGGACGGTAGTGGCTAGTTTATTGTTAAACGTTTGCTCTCTCTCTCTCTCTCTCTCTCTCTCTCTCTCTCTCTCTCTCTCTCTGTCTCTCTCTCTCTCTCTCTCTCTCTCTCTCTCTGTCTGTCTGTCTGTCTCTCTCTCTCTCTCTCTCTCTCTCTCTCTCTCTCTCTCTCTCTCTCTCTCTCTCTCTCTCTCTCTCTCTCTAACAGGATTTCCGACCGCTTGTCTCTGTGCCTTGTTGACATAGGAGCAGAGCTATGCTCGGATGCCGTTCAAGAGAGGTGTCCTCTGATGGAGGTGCCCTTTAAGGGTAGTGTCCAAGAGAGGTGCATCGGAACACACCGATTCGCTTTATGCGAATCTGCGCATATATTGAACACCTCTACTGTATCTCAAACTGGCTAGTAGTCGACCATCTTCCAGGAACTATTTTAAGGTTTTCTTCTCTCGTGTTACCAGAATTCCAGCAACAGCGAGTTCCAGCAACTGGCGGAGGCGCTGAAGGTTCGCGGCAAGTTCCTCAACCCTACGCAGCTTGAGGTCTATGTAGAGCAACACCTGGCAAGCCAGAAGCACCAGGCGGCCCTCCTTCAGGAGAATATTATCATGAAATTAATGGATAAAGACTACGCCCACACAGGTACACGCCCACAGGGGTACACGCCCACAGGAGTACACGCCCATACAGGTACACGCTCACACAGGTACACGCCCACACAGGTGCACGCCCACACAGGTACACGCCCACAGAAGTAAGACACGAGAGAGAGGGGTGGGTTGATTGCATCTTCTTGGACTGCAAGAAGGCCTTTGACACAGTTCCTCACAAGAGATTAGTGCAGAAGCTAGAGCATCAGGCGCATATAACGGGAAGGGCACTGCAATGGATCAGAGAATACCTGACAGGGAGGCAACAACGAGTCATGGTACGTAATGATGTATCACAGTGGGCACCTGTGACGAGCGGGGTCCCACAGGGGTCGGTCCTAGGACCAGTGCTATTTTTGGTATATGTGAACGACATGATGGAAGGGTTAGACTCAGAAGTGTCCCTGTTTGCAGATGATGTGAAGTTAATGAGGAGAATTAAATCAGATGAGGACCAGGCAGGACTTCAAAGAGACCTGGACAGACTGGACACCTGGTCCAGCAAATGGCTTCTCGAATTTAATCCTGCCAAATGCAAAGTCACGAAGATAGGGGAAGGGCACAGAAGACCACAGACCGAGTATAGGCTAGGTGGCCAAAGACTGCAAACCTCACTCAAGGAAAAAGATCTTGGGGTGAGTATAACACCGAGCATGTCTCCGGAAGCACACATCAACCAGATAACTGCTGCAGCATATGGGCGCCTAGCAAACCTGAGAACAGCATTCCGATACCTTAGTAAGGAATCGTTCAAGACACTGTACACCGTGTATGTCAGGCCCATACTGGAGTATGCAGCACCTGTTTGGAACCCGCACTTGATAAAGCACGTCAAGAAACTAGAGAAAGTACAAAGATTTGCGACAAGGTTAGTTCCAGAGCTAAGGGGAATGTCCTATGAAGAAAGATTAAGGGAAATCGGCCCTGACGACACTGGAGGACAGGAGGGTCAGGGGAGACATGATAACGACATAAAAAATACTGCGTGGAATAGACAAGGTGGAAAAAGACAGGATTTTCCGGGGGGGACACAGAAAAAAGAGGCCAAAATTTGGGAATTAAAGACACAAATGGTAGAGGATATTGGGAAGTATTTCTTCAGTCATAGAGTTGTAAGGCAGTGGAATAGCCTAGAAAATGACGTAGTGGAGGCAGGAACCATACACAGTTTTAAGACGAGGTTTGATAAAGCTCATGGAGCGGGGAGAGAGAGGGCCCAGTAGCAACCGGTGAAGAGGCGGGGCCAGGAGCTAAGACTCGACCCCTGCAACCACAAATAGGTGAGTACAAATAGGTGAGTACACAGGTACACGCCCACACAGGTACACGCCCACAAAGGTACACGCCCACACAGGTACACGCCCACAAAGGTACACGCCCACAAAAGTACACGCCCACACAGGTACACGCCCACACAGGTACACGCCCACAAAGGTACCCGCCCACAAAGGTATACGCCCACAAAGGTACACGCCCACAAAGGGACACGCCCACAAAGGGACACACAAAGGTACACGTCCACAAAGGGACACACAAAGGTACACGTCCACAAAGGTACACATTCACAAAGTTACATTTCCATAAAGGTGCACGCCCACAAAGGTACACACTCACAAAGATATATGTCCACAAAGGTATACGCCCACAAAGGTACACATTCACAAAGGTACACACTCACAAAGGTACACACTCACAAAGGTACACATTCACTAAGGTACGCATCCACAAAGGTAAACACTCACGAAGGTGCACGCCCACAAAGGTACACACCCACAAAGGTACACATTCACTAAGGTACACGTCCACAAAGGTACACACTCACAAAGGTACACGAACACAAAAGTACACACCCAAAAAGGTACACACTCACAAAAGTACACGTCCACAAAGGTACACACTTACAAAGGTACACATTCACAAAGGTACACACTCGCTAAGGTACACGCCCACAAAGGGACACACAAAGGTGTACGCCCACAAAAGTACACACTCACAAAGATACATGTCCACAAAGGTACACACTCACAAAGGTATACGCCCACAAAGGCACACGCCCACAAAGGTACACACTCACAAAGGTACACACTCACAAAGATACGTGTCCACAAAGGTATACGCCCACAAAGGTACACATTCACAAAGGTACACGCCCACAAAGGTACACCCCCACAAAGGTACACACTCACAAAAGTACTCGTCCCCCAAAGATACACACTTACAAAGGTACACACTCACAAAGGTACACACTCACTAAGGTACACACCCACAAAGGTACACACAAAGGTACACGCCCACGATCGTACACGTCCACAAAGGTACACGCCCACAAAGGTACACGCCTACGAAGGTACACGTCCACAAAGGTACACGTCTACAAAGGTACACGTGCACAAAGGTACACGCCTACAGAGGTACACGCCTACAAAGGTACACACCCACAAAGGTACACTCCTACAAAGGTACACGTCCACAAAGATACACGTCCACAAAGGTACACGCCCACAAAGATACACGTTCACAAAGGTACACGTCAACGAAGGTACACGCCCACAAAGGTACACGCCCACAAAGGTACACGCCCACAAAGGGACACGTCCACAAAGGTACACGCCCACAAAGATACACGTCCACAAAGGTACACGCCTACAAGGGTACACGCCCACAAAGGTACACGTCCACAAAGGTACACGCCCACAAAGATACACGTCCACAAATGTACACGCCCACAAAGGTACACGTCCACAAAGGTACACGCCTACAAAGGTACACGCCCACAAAGATACACGTCCACAAAGATACACGTCCACAAAGGTACACGTCCACAAAGGTACACATTCACTAAGGTACACGTCCACAAAGGTACACGTCCACAAAGGTACACATTCACTAAGGTACACGTCCACAAAGGTACACGTCCACAAAGGTACACATTCACTAAGGTACACGTCCACAAAGGTACACGTCCACAAAGGTACACATTCACTAAGGTACACGACCACAAAGGTACACGTCCACAAAGGTACACATTCACTAAGGTACACGACCACAAAGGTACACGTCCACAAAGGTACACGTCCACAAAGATACACGTCCACAAAGGTACACGTCCACAAAGGTACACGTCCACAAAGGTACACGTCCACAAAGATACACGTCGAAAAAAGATAAAACGTCCACAAAGATACACGTCCACAAAGGTACACATTCACTAAGGTACACGTCCACAAAGGTACACGTCCACAAAGGTAGACGTCCACAAAGATACACGTCTACAAAGGTACACGTCCACAAAGATACACGTCCACAAAGGTACACATTCACTAAGGTACACGTCCACAAAGGTACACGTCCACTAAGGTACACGTCTACAAAGGAACACATTCACTAAGGTACACGTCCACAAAGGTACACGTCCACAAAGGTACACATTCACTAAGGTACACGTCCACAAAGGTACACGTCCACTAAGGTAAACTCCACAAAGGTCCCACGTTCACAAAGGTACACATTCACTGAGGTCACGTCCACAAAAGTACACGTCCACAAAGGTACACGTCCACAAAGGTACACGTCCACAAAGGTACAAGTCCACTAAGGTACACGTCCACAAAGGTACACGTCCACTAAGGTACACGTCCACAAAGGTACACGTTCACAAAGGTACACATTCACTAAGGTACACGTCCACAAAAGTACACGTCCACAAAGGTACACGTCCACAAAGGTACACGTCCAAAAAGGGTACAAGTCCCTAAGGTACACGTCCAAAAAGGTACACGTCCACAAAGGTACACGTCACTAAGGTACACGTCCACAAGGTACACATTCATAGGTACACGTCCACAAAGGTACACGTCCCAAAGGTACACGTCCACAAAGGTACACGTCCACAAAGGTAAAACGTCCACAAAGGTCAAGCCCATTTAAGGTACACGTCCACAAAGGTACACGTCCAGAAAGGTACACGTCCACTAAGGTACACGTCCACAAAGGTACACATTCACTAAGGTACACGTCCACAAAGGTACACGTCCACAAAGGTACACGTCCACAAAGGTACACGTCCACAAAGGTACACGTTCACAAAGGTCCCACATTCACTAAGGTACACGTCCACAAAGTACACGTCCACAAAGGTAACACGTCCAAAAAGGGTTTACACGCCCACAAAGGTACAAGTCCACTAAGGTACACGTCCACAAAGGTACACGTCCACTAAGGTACACGTCCACAAAGGTACACGTTCACAAAGGTACACATTCACTAAGGTACACGTCCACAAAAGTACACGTCCACAAAGGCACACGTCCACAAAGGTACACGTCCACAAAGGTACAAGTCCACTAAGGTACACGTCCACAAAGGTACACGTCCACAAAGGTACACGTCCACTAAGGTACACGTCCACAAAGGTACACATTCACTAAGGTACACGTCCACAAAGGTACACGTCCACAAAGGTACACGTCCACAAAGGTAAAACGTCCACAAAGGTACACGTCACAAAGGTACAATTTCCACAAAGGTACACGTCCACAAAGGTACACGTCCAGAAAGGTACACGTCCACTAAGGTACACGTCCACAAAGGTACACATTCACTAAGGTACACGTCCACAAAGGTACACGTCCACAAAGGTACACGTCCACAAAGGTACACGTCCACAAAGGTACACGTCCACAAAGGTACACGTTCACAAAGGTACACATTCACTAAGGTACACGTCCACAAAAGTACACGTCCACAAAGGCACACGTTCACAAAGGTACACGTCCACAAAGGTACACGTCCACTAAGGTACACGTCCACAAAGGTACACGTCCACAAAGGTACAAGTCCACTAAGGTACACGTCCACAAAGGTACACGTCCACAAAGGTACACGTCCACTAAGGTACACGTCCACAAAGGTACACATTCACTAAGGTACACGTCCACAAAGGTACACGTCCACAAAGGTACACGTCCACACAGGTACACGTCCACAAAGGTACACGTCCACAAAAGTACACATTTTTGAAACACGCAAAGAATTATTATTTAGATTTTAGAATCATCAATGTAATAAAATTCCTTATGTTAATATAAGTATAATTCCTTTTAAACGCTAATGTAATCTAGTTATTCAATAAATTACTATAAATTACGTTCAGTCTTCCAGTCAGTATGACCCATGTGAGTTTAGCGTTTCATAATAATAATTTTAAATTTAAAAATAATAATAATTTAATAATAATATAATAATATAATAATATTATTATTATTATTATTATTATTTTTATTGTTATTATTATTATTAGCTGAGAGAGCCATCTGTTGCAGGATACTGCAACTTCTATATGTCCGCGGATTCACTCTACTCTATGTATGTCTCTATGGCAGTACCTGAGGGCAGTCCCTTACTGCAGTACCTTAATGCTAGGTGAGTACTTCCCCCAGTACCTTAATGCTATGTGAGTACTTCCCTCAGTACCTTAATGCTAGGTGAGTACTTCCCTCAGTACCTTAATGCTAGGTGAGTACTTCCCTCAGTACCTTAATGCTAGGTGAGTACTTCCCTCAGTACCTTAATGCTAGGTGAGTACTTCCCTCAGTACCTTAATGTTAGGTGAGTACTTCCCTCAGTACCTTAATGTTAGGTGAGTACTTCCCCCAGTACCTTAATGCTAGGTGAGTACTTCCCCCAGTACCTTAATTTTTAGGTGGTACTTCCTCAGTACCTTAATGTTAGGTGATTTACTTCCCACAGTACCTTAATGCTAGGTGAGTACTTCCCTCAGTACCTTAATGTTAGGTGAGTACTTCCCTCAGTACCTTAATACTATTTCAAAGTTTATTCTCTATAAGGATTACAATGTTGATTTTACAGAAATTTGGTTATTGTGTGGTTTACATGTTGTAAAATAGTGATTACAGAGTGTACCACTAGAACGCTTAGCATGGCTAGGCATTTCGGGCAGACTTAGTTTTATTCTTAATTGTAAAATATTACAAATTATGAGGTAAGTTGGTATTATGGCTAAGTGACTAAATACTAGTTTGTGAGTTTAGCAATGTGAATGCTTTTGTTTGGCACAGTACATAGTTTCGTATTGGAGTATCACAGGATTAAATTATTTTAAGATTGAGATTAATATTTCTGTTTATGGTAAAATGAGTGAGGGGAGTGTAAGTGTGAACCACCAGGTGGTATTCGTGTAGTTAGTTGACGGGGTGTATCAGGGAGATAAGATGTTTTCAAATTGGTAGTTTTGAAGGTGATGAATGTGTCTGCGTTCTAGAGTTCTCGGGTAGGGTATTCCAGATTTTAGGGCCTTTGACATACATTGAATTTTTGTAAAGGTTTAGTCGGACACGGGGAATGTGTAGAGATGTTTGTGTCTGGTGTTATCCCTGTGGGTTCTGTAACAACTATCAAGAAAGCGTTTTAGGTCAAGGTTGATATTAGAGTTTAAGGCCCTGTAGATGTAGATTGCACAGTAGTAAGTGTGGATGTACTGAACAGGGAGTAAGTTTAGGTCTATGAAGAGTGGGGGGATGTGTTGCCAGGGATGGGATTTAGTGATTATTCTTACTGCAGCTTTTTGTTGGGTTATTATTGGCTTTAGGCGTGTTGCTGCAGTTGATCCCCAAGCACAAATAGCATAGGTGAGGTATGGATAAATAACTAGGTGAGTACTTCCCCAGTACCTTAATGCTAGGTGAGTACTTCCCTCAGTACCTTAATGCTAAGTGAGTACTTCCCTCAGTACCTTAATGCTAGGTGAGTACTTCCCTCAATACCTTAATGCTAGGTGAGTACTTCCCTCAGTACCTTAATACTAGGTGAGTACTTCCCTCAGTACCTTAATGCTAGGTGAGTACTTCCCTCAGTACCTTAATGTTAGGTGAGTACTTCCCTCAGTACCTTAATGCTAGGTGGGGGTACTTCCCTCAGTCCCTTTAATGTTGGGGTGAGTACTTCCCTCAGTACCTTAAATGCTAGGCGAGTACTTTCCCCAGTCCCTTTAATGTTAGGTGAGTACTTCCCCTCAGTACCTTAATGTTAGGTGGGGTACTTTCCCAGTACCTTAATGCTAGGTGAGCCCTTCCCCAGTACCTTAATGCTAGGTGATTTTACTTCCCCCAGTCCCTTTAAATGCTAGGTGAGTACTTCCTCAGTACCTTAATGCTAGGTGAGTACTTCCCCCAGTACCTTAATGCTAGGTGAGTACTTCCCTCAGTACCTTAATGCTAGGTGAGTACTTCCCTCAGTACCTTAATGCTAGGTGAGTACTTCCCCCAGTACCTTAATGCTAGGTGAGTACTTCCCCCAGTACCTTGATGCTAGGTGAGTATTCCCCAGTACCTTAATGAAGGTGAGTACTTCCCCCAGTACCTTAATGTTAGGTGAGTACTTCCCCCCTTTTACCTTAATGCTGGTGAGTACTTCCCCCAGTACCTTAATGCTAGGTGAGTACTTCCCCCAGTACCTTAATGCTAGGTGAGTACTTCCCCCAGTACCTTAATGCTAGGTGAGTACTTCCCCCAGTACCTTAATGCTAGGTGAGTACTTCCCCCAGTATTTTAATGCTAGGTGAGTACTTCCCCCAGTACCTTAATGCTAGGTGAGTACTTCCCCCAGTACCTTTAATGTTAGGTGAGATACTTCCCTCAGTACCTTAATGCTAAGTGAGTACTTCCCCCAGTCCCTTTAAATTGCTAGGTGGGGTACTTCCCCCCAGTACCTTAATGCTAGGTGAGTACTTCCCCAAGTACCTTAATGCTAGGTGAGTACTTCCCCAAGTACCTTAATGCTAGGTGAGTACTTCCCCCAGTACCTTAATGCTAGGTGAGTACTTCCCCAGTCCCTTTAAAATGCTAGGTGAGTACTTCCCCCAGTACCTTAATGCTAGGTGGAGTACTTCCCCCAGTACCTTAATGCTAGGTGAGTACTTCCCCCATTTACCTTAATGTAGGTGAGTACTTCCCCCAGTACCTTAATGTTAGGTGAGTACTTCCCCCAGTACCTTAATGCTAGGTGAGTACTTCCCCCAGTACCTTAATGCTAGGTGAGTACTTCCCTCAGTACCTTAATGCTAGGTGAGTTACTTCCCCCAGTACCTTAAATGCTAGGTGAGTACTTCCCCCAGTACCTTAATGCTAGGTGAGTATTTCCCCCCAGTCCCTTAATGTTAGGTGAGTATTTCCCTCAGTACCTTAATGCTAGGTGAGTACTTCCCCCAGTACCTTAATGTTTGGTGAGTCTTCCCCCAGTACCTATTGCTAGGTGAGTACTTCCCCAGTACCTTAATGCTGGTGAGTACTTCCCCTCAGTACCTTAATGCTGGGTTTGAGTACTTCCCCCAGTACCTTAATGCTAGGTGAGTACTTCCCTCAGTACCTTAATGCTAGGTGAGTACTTCCCCCATTTACCTTAATGCTAGGTGAGTTATTTCCCCTCAGTACCTTAATGCTAGGTGAGTACTTCCCCCAGTACCTTAAATGCTAGGTGAGTACTTCCCTCATTTACCTTAATGCTAGGTGAGTACTTCCCCCAGTACCTTAATGCAAAGGTGAGTACTTCCTCAGTACCTTTAAATTTGCTAGGTGAGTACTTCCCCCAGTACCTTAAGCTAGGTGAGTACTTCCCCCAGTACCTTAATGCTAGGTGAGTACTTCCCTAGTTCCTTTAAAATGTAGGTGAGTACTTCCCCAGTACCTTAATGCTGGGTGAGTACTTCTCCCAGTACCTTTAAATTTGCTGGTGAGTACTTCCCCAGTACCTTTTAATCCCTAGGTGAGAACTTCTCCCAGTACCTTAATGCTAGGTGAGTACTTCCCCCAGTCCCTTTAAATTGTAGGTGAAGTACTTCCCCAGTCCCTTTTAATGCTAGGTGAGTACTTCCCCCAGTACCTTAATGTTAGGTGGTACTTCCCCCAGTCCCTTTAAATTGCTAGGTGAGTACTTCCCCAGTCCCTTTTAAATGCTAGGTGAGTACTTCCCCCAGTACCTTAATGCTAGGTGAGTACTTCCCCAGTACCTTAATGCTAGGTGAGTACTTCCCCCAGTACCTTAATGCTAGGTGAGTACTTCCCTCAGTACCTTAATGCTAGGTGAGTACTTCCCCAAGTACCTTAATGCTAGGTGAGTACTTCCCTCAGTACCTTAATGCTAGGTGAGTATTTCCCCCCAGTTACCTTAATGTTTAGGTGAGTACTTCCCTCAGTACCTTAATGCTAGGTGAGTACTTCCCCAGTACCTTAATGCTAGGTGAGTTACTTCCCTCAGTACCTTAATGCTTGGTGAGTACTTCCCCAGTACCTTAATGCTAGGTGAGTACTTCCCTCAGTCCCTTTAAAATGCTAGGTGAGTACTTCCCCCATTTACCTTAATGCTAGGTGAGTACTTCCCCCAGTACCTTTTAATGTTTAGGTAGTACTTCCCCAGTACCTTAATGCTAAGGTGAGTACTTCCCCCAGTACCTTAATGCTAGGGATTCTTCCCCAGTACCTTAATGCTAGGTGAGTACTTCCTCAGTACTTAATGCTAGGTGAGTACTTCCCCCAGTACCTTAATGCTAGGTGAGTACTTCCCCCAGTACCTTAATGCTAGGTGAGTACTTCCCCCAGTACCTTAATGCTAGGTGAGTACTTCCTTCAGTACCTTAATGCTAGGTGAGTACTTCCCCCAGTACCTTAATGCTAGGTGAGTACTTCCCCCAGTACCTTAATGCTAGGTGAGTACTTCCTTCAGTACCTTAATGCTAGGTGAGTACTTCCCCCAGTACCTTAATGCTAGGTGAGTATTATATATGATAATTTAAAATCTAATCTAATTTACTCTCTAAATATATGTTAAATTATCGAAATACAATTTTTTTGTTATTTCAAAAGCTAAATGGATGTTTTTTTTTCCAGATTATACCTCGTGGTTATACACTGAGAGGTGTATGTCTCTGGGTGTATACACTGACAAGTGTATGTCTCTCAGGGTATATACACTGACAGGTGTATGTCTCTCTGGGTATATACTTGTCAGCATAGTTGCTGATCCCCCTTACATGTGTGTGTATAGCTTAGCTGAGTAGGGTGGCCCGGTGGCCTGGTGGCTAAAGCTCCCGCTTCACACACGGAGGGCCCGGGTTCGATTCCCGGCGGGAGGAAACATTTCGACACGTTTCCTTACACCTATTGTCCTGTTCACCTAGCAGCAAATAGGTACCTGGGTGTTAGTCGACTGGTGTAGGTCGCATCCTGGGGGACAAGATTAAGGACCCCAATGGAAATAAGTTAGACAGTCCTCGATGACGCACTGACTTTCTTGGGTTATCCTGGGTGGCTAACCCTCCGGGGTTAAAAATCCGAACGAAATCTTATCTTATCTTATCATAGTACCATCCATGTGTTTATATAGAAGATCCCTACTAGGCCTAGTGACTGTATGACGTCACGGGATGCGGCATGAGTGAGTGGGACGCGCTACCTCGAATACTCAGCCAGATAATCAACCCGACTGTCGCTATTCTTTGCGTACTCGACAAGTAATGAGAAACCCACAAGTATCTTTTTTAGATACTCATTCAGATCTCCCTCAATCAAGGCATGTGTTAGCCATTGCAGAGGAATTCGATCCTCCCAGAGATGATAACCATTCTGCATATGTAAACCTCACCCTCGCAGAGTTGGGTTTAAATGTACATAGTCTGTATAATTAGTTGTCCGAGATGAATGAAATTGTCAACTGTGTGTTTTGTTATTAACTGATCAGTTTTCAGAATTTTTTTTTTCGTGTTCACATTCCCTCCGTATTCTGAGAATTTAACAGTAATGATCTGTGTGCACCAGATTTGCCTTTGCTGTTAATTTCACCTTGTATATATATTTATTCTTCCTCAGAATCTGTAGAGTGCATGAATACAGATAGATCGATCTATTCCATCCTATGTTATACCATGATTTCTTCTTATAATTTGTAATGCATTACGTTAAAACTCATTACGTTAACACCCATTACGTTAAAACTCATTATGTTAACATCCATTATGATACCATCCATTAGTTCTAAGTTATATATGAATTTGTTATTGTATAGAATCAGCCCAGAGCCACCTGCCTGTTCAGCCTATAGCATAGTAGTGTATGTCGAGACGACATACGTAACATGACCGAGCTGTCAGCATAGTTGCTGATCCCCCTTACATGTGTGTATAGCTTAGCTGAGTATCATAGTACCATCCATGTGTTTATATAGAAGATCCCTACTAGGCCTAGTGACTGTATGACGTCACGGGATGCGGCATGAGTGAGTGGGATGCGCTACCTCGCTCTCAGTCCTCGCTTAGACATACCAGGCATCTACAGGCAGGCTGGGCCCTTTCCTTACCACAGTCTGACAATATATATAGTGCTACCATCCAACAAGTGTGTTTATCTTCAACCATCATATCTCCTTCCGAACCCCCACGACACACTGACAGGTGTATGTCTCTCAGGGTATATACACTGACAGGTATATGTCTCTCTGGGTATATACACTGACAGGTGTATGTCTCTCAGGGTATATACATTGACAGGTGTATGTCTCTCTGGGTATATACATTGACAGGTGTATGTCTCTCTGGGTATATACACTGACGGTGTATGTCTCTCGGGGTTTTTATACACTGAAGGTGTATTTTCCCCTTGGGTATATAAACTGACAGGTGTATGTCTCTCAGGGTATATACACTGACAGGTGTATGTCTCCCTGGGTATATAAACTGACAGGTGTATGTCTCTCAGGGTATAAACACTGACAGGTGTATGTCTCTCAGGGTTTATACACTGACAGGTGTATGTCTCTCTGGGTATATAAACTGACAGGTGTATGTCTCTCACGGTATAAACACTAACAGGTGTATGTCTCTCAGGGTATATACACTGACAGGTGTATGTCTCTCAGGTATATACATGAAGGGTGTATGTCTCACAGGTATATACACTGACAGGTGTATGTCTTTCAGGGTATATACACTGACAGGTGTATGTCTCACAGGTATATACACTGACAGGTGTATGTCTCTCAGGGTATATACACTGACAGGTGTATGTCTCACAGGTATATACACTGACAGGTGTATGTCTCACAGGTATATATACTGACAGATGCATGTCTCTCAGGGTATATACACTGAGAGGCGTATATGTCTCAGCGTATATACATTGACAGGTGTATATCAGCGTGTATACCCTGGTAGTTTACATTAATCCATATTTTAGATATTAAAGTATTCTTGACTGGTGATGATCAGGTGACAAGCAACCTTGATAACCCTTGTGTAGTAGATCGGTGTGAAACCCTATTAATCAACGACTCATTGTTGGTTGATGTTCTAGGATACTGTTGCTGCTGGAGCATGGCATCTATAAACAATGGGTGCATGAGGAGCTGTATGGGGCGTCTTTCTGTCAATGTCATGACCACCATAGCGTCCACGACATGGCACCATATTCCCCATACAACATGATGGACCTTAAGGTAACATTTATTTATTTATTATTAATTTGAACATGATACATAGAAGTACAAGGTAATACAGTGGTTAAGTGTAACATGCCAAAGTTCCTTGTATGCAGAGCATTATGGGCAGGATTAAAATTAACTTAAGATTAACTAAGCAATGATATATTCAGTGGTAAACATTATTGTAAACAGATAACAATTAAGCACAAATGAGTAATTCAAAGACAGGTCATACTGTCAATTACTTTGTTACTGAACATTCAGTAGAATGGAGGATTCTGTTAGGTATTGTAATTGAAAATAACAAAGTTTGAATGGGTCACAGGATAAACATTTATGAGATACAATTATTCAGTATTTATTTAGTTGTGGGTGAGTAAGTGATTTTTAAGAAGAGACTTGAATTTATAAACAGTGTTTCTTTTATATTCACAGGTAATGAATTCCAGATTTTTGGGCCTTTTATGTGCATTGAGTTTTTACATAGTGTGAGATGGACACGAGGAACATCAAAGAGTGATCTGTGCCTTGTGTTATGGTCATGTGTTCTGTTGAGGTTGGTAAGATGTTTGAGGGGAGGGTTTTATGTCAGAGTTAAGTGTTCTATGTATGTAGTGGTTTTCAGTAATAAATATGGATGTTTTGTATTGTGAGTAGGTTTAGTGTTTTGAATATTGGCGAGTGTGCTGCCTGTAGTAGGAATTTGTTATCATTCTGACTGCAGCCTTTTTTTTGGGTGAGTAATGGTCTGAGATGGTTTATTGTTGTTGAGCCCCATGCACAAATTCCATAGTTAAGATGGGGTAAATAAGTGAGTGATATAGAGCCAGGAGGGCTGACTGTGGAACATAGTACCGTATCTTCAATAGTATGCCTACGGTCTTCGAAATTTTCTTGGAAATTTGTTGTACATGTGTTTGAATTTGAGTCTATTATCAAGGTGGATTCCTAAGAATTTTCCCTCTGTTAGCTTTGTGATAGGTGATCCGTTAATCATTATGTTAAGAGGGACATCTGTAGCTCTGTTACCAAACTGAATGAAGTAAGTTTTGTCAATGTTGAGAGTAAGTTTGTTGGTCCTCATCCAGGTTGATATTTTCTGTAATTCGGTATTTACAGTATTGGCTAGCATGACTGGGCTCGGGTGAGAGAAGACGTATGTAGTGTCATCTGCAAATAGTGTGGGTTTGAGTAGTTGCGATGCATTTGGTAGGTCATTTATAACACGGAAACAGAAACGCTGCAGTAGATCTATTGGCCCATGCTAGGCGCGTCTTTTTCAAACAAGAGTTCATGAAATAATTCAGGAAAATCAGTTCCCACCCATCATTGAAGGATGGGTGGGAATGTTGTGGTTCTGAAGGTGGGAAGTACGCTGCACTCTGAAGGATGGGTGGGAAGGTTGTGGTTCTGGAGGTGGGAAGTACACTGCACTCTGAAGGATGGATGGGAATGTTGTGGTTCTGGAGATGGGAAGTACACTGCACTCTGAAGGAGGGGTGGGAATGTTGTGGTTTGAGATGGAATACACCGCACTCTAAGGATGGTGGGAATGTTGTGGTTCTGGAGGTGGGAAGTACACTGCACTCTGAAGGATGGATGGGAATGTTGTGGTTCTGGAGATGGGAAGTACACTGCACTCTGAAGGATGGGTGGGAATGTTGTAGTTCTGGAGGTGGGAAGTACACTGCACTCTGAAGGATGGGTGGGAAGGTTGTGGTTCTGGAGGTGGGAAGTACACTGCACTCTGAAGGATGGGTGGGAATGTTGTGGGTCTCGAGGTGGGAAGTACACTGCACTCTAAAGGATGGGTGGGAATGTTGTGGGTCTCGAGGTGGGAAGTACACTGCCTGCACTCTGAGGGATGGATGGGAATGTTGTGGTTCTGGAGATGGGAAGTACACTGCACTCTGAAGGATGGCTGGGAATGTTGTGGTTCTGGAGATGGGAAGTACACTGCACTCTGAAGGATGGGTGGGAAAGTTGTGGTTCTGGAGGTGGGAAGTACACTGCACTCTGAAGGATGGATGGGAATGTTGTGGTTCTGGAGGTGGAAAGTACACTGCACTCTGAAGGATGGGTGGGAATGTTGTGGTTCTGGAGGTGGAAAGTACACTGCACTCTGAAGGATGGGTGGGAATGTTGTGGTTCTGGAGGTGGAAAGTACACTGCACTCTGAATGATGGATGGGAATGTTGTGGTTCTGGAGGTGGAAAGTACACTGCACTCTGAAGGATGGATGGGAATGTTGTGGTTCTGGAGGTGGGAAGTACACTGCACTCTGAAGGATGGGTGGGAATGTTGTGGTTCTGGAGGTGGGAAGTACACTGCACTCTGGGAAAGGGTGGGTGGGATGTTGTGGTTCAGGAGGTTTGGGAAAATACACTGCAACTCTGAAGGATGGTTTGGGAAAGTTGTGGTTCTGGAGGTGGGAAGTACACTGCACTCTGAAGGATGGATGGGAATGTTGTGGTTCTGGAGGTGGAAAGTACACTGCACTCTGAAGGATGGGTGGGAATGTTGTGGTTCTGGAGATGGGAAGTACACTGCACTCTGAAGGATGGCTGGGAATGTTGTGGTTCTGGAGATGGGAAGTACACTGCACTCTGAAGGATGGGTGGGAAGGTTGTGGTTCTGGAGGTGGGAAGTACACTGCACTCTGAAGGATGGGTGGGAAAGTTGTGGTTCTGGAGGTGGGAAGTACACTGCACTCTGAAGGATGGGTGGGAATGTTGTGGTTCTGGAGGTGGAAAGTACACTGCACTCTGAAGGTGGATGGGGGAAAGTTGTGGTTCTGGAGGTGGGAAGTACACTGCACTCTGAAGGATGGGTGGGAAAGTTGTGGTTCTGGAGGTGGGAAGTACACTGCACTCTGAAGGATGGGTGGGAATGTTGTGGTTCTGGAGGTGGAAAGTACACTGCACTCTGAAGGATGGGTGGGAATGTTGTGGTTCTGAAGGTGGAAAGTACACTGCACTCTGAAGGATGGGTGGGAATGTTGTGGTTCTGGAGGTGGAAAGTACACTGCACTCTGAAGGATGGATGGGAATGTTGTGGTTCTGGAGGTGGAAAGTACACTGCACTCTGAAGGATGGATGGGAATGTTGTGGTTCTGGAGGTGGGAAGTACACTGCACTCTGAAGGATGGGTGGGAATGTTGTGGTTCTGGAGGTGGAAAGTACACTGCACTCTGAAGGATGGGTGGGAATGTTGTGGTTCTGGAGGTGGAAAGTACACTGCACTCTGAAGGATGGGTGGGAATGTTGTGGTTCTGGAGGTGGAAAGTACACTGCACTCTGAAGGATGGATGGGAATATTACAGTTCAGAGAGTCATGTGAACCGTGTTCTCTACATACTGCTGGTCAGAAGGCTATTGAGTGAATAATGGTCTATCTACTTGGAGTCTACCTGGAGGGGATTCCGGGGATCAACGCCCCCACGGCCCGATCCATTACCAGGTCTCCTGGTGGATCAGGGCCTGATCAACGAGGCTATTACTGCTGGCCACACGTAAATAGTGAATGTATTTTCTCATCACTTCCTCTCACTCTTCTCATTTCTTCCAACACTTGTTCGTACATCTTCCTAACCATTTTCTTTAATTCATTCTTTTTCTGTCAATATTATACTGTTTTCATTATACAAGTTAAGTATTTTAGCTTGTTATTACGTTCGAAAACTAACGTGTCTGGTGTGTACATTTGACAGATAGCATTCGCTGTGCTTGGTGCTGGATGCTGCGTAGCTGCTCTGATCCTCTTCTGGGACATCGCCTACGCTAGGTTCTATGGGAAAGGATCCAACTCCACGTGTACATAACTTAGCGATGCTTCAGATCTGTGGTCGCGGCTCCAATCCTCTTCTCTGGAACGTCGTCAGGCTCTGTAGGAAGGGATCCAATACCAAATGATGCTTAGGTTCTGTGGAAGCTACTTCGATCGTATTCTGGGACGTCACCAGACTGTGAAAAGGGATCCATTACCACGTGTACATAAATAAGCGGTCGTCAGGACTCTCTAGGAAAGAATCCAACTCCACGTATAAATAAGCGATACTTCGATATAGGGTAGCAAGTCCTACTTCCCTCATGTATAGATGACATGAACTGGAACTTTAGGAAACACTAAAGTAATTTTAAAGGATTGAAGTGCGTTTTAATGGTTCATGCGACCTTGAACGTATTCAGCTAGACTTTTAAGGAATTCAGACTGATTACACAGACTTCAATTTGTTTCTTAAAAGTGCATAATTGTTGTTTTAAGTATTCAGTAATATGATTTGATCTCTTACTGTGTACTATTTAGCGGCTTTAAGGGTATTTCCATGTCTTCACCGCCACTGTGAAGGCTCGATCATCTGTTTATTGTTCCTAAAGCCAGGCTTTCTCCAGTCCAGGTGTTAATTAAGGACCTTTGTGCATGTAGTTAATTACGGGAAGTTTAAGTGGTGTAATTAAGAAACTTGTTTAATGACTCTAATTAAATGACTTAATTAAAATGTGAGAGACGCTTTGTGTTCCTTCTCTAAATTTAAATCTTGTTTACTTGTTTGTTGCTATTCCTTCCATCTGTCAGCATCTGTCAGCCATTGTAGCATCTGTCAGGCCCTCTGTCAGCCCATCTGTCAAAGGGGCCACTCCATCTGGCAATGACCGCTCCACCCGTCAGTGATCCAGTCCATTTTATCAATTATCATACACCACTGCCCAAATTTATCATACACACCTGCCAAATATACACCACCTGGCATTATCATGCATGCTGCAAAATTATCATACACACTCGCCAAAATCATACACCACCTGCCATTATCATATTTCCACCTGGCAATTTTTCATTTCACCACCTGGCAATTATCATACACCACCTGCCTAAAATCTTACACCACCTGCCAATATACCCCACTGCCCAATTATCATTTCACCACCTGGGAATTATCATACACACTCTGGCAATTATCAACACCACCCGCCAAATATCAAAACACCACCTGCCAATTTCTAACCCACCTGGCAATATCTTTCCACCACCTGCCCAAAATTTTTTCCCCTACACCACCTGCCAATTATCATACACCACCTGCCAAATATCATACACCCCTGCCAATTATCATACACCACCTGCCAAATTATCAACACCACTGGCCAATTATCATACACCACCCGCCAAATATCATACACACCTGCCAATTATCATACACCACCTGCCAATTATCATACACCACCTGCCAATTATCATACACCACCTGCCAATTATCATACACCACCTGCCAAATATCATACACCACCTGCCAATTATCATACACCACCTGGCAATTATCATACACCACCTGCCAATTATACACCACCTGCCAAATATACACCACCTGCCAAATTTCATACACCACCTGCCAATTATCATACACCACCTGCCAATTATCATACACCACCTGCCAATTATCATACACCACCCGGCAATTATCATACACCACCTGCCATTATACACCACCCGCCAAATATTTTTACACCTGCCAAATATCTTTCACCACCTTCCAATTATCTACACCACCTGGCAATTTTTCAATACACCCCTGCCAATTTATACACCACCTGCCAAATATACACCACCCGCCAAATATCCTCAGCACCTGCCAAAATTTTCATACACCACCTGCCAATTATCATACACCACCTGCCAAATATACACCCCCTGCCAAATATCTTACTCCACCTGCCAATTATCATTTTCACCACCTGCCAAATTTTTCATACACCACCTGCCAAAAAATTTCACCACCTGGGAAAATATCTTACACCACCCGGCAATTATCATACACCACCTGCCAATTATCATAAACCCCCTGCCCAAAAATACACCACCTGCCAAATATCTTACACCACCTGCCAATTATCATACACCCCCTGCCACAAATTTCATTTCACCACCTGCCAAATATACACCACCTGCCAAATATCTTACAGCACCTGCCAATTATCATACACCACCTGCCAATTATCTACACCACTGCCAAATATACACCACCTGCAAAATATCTTACACCACTGGGAATTTCATACCCCATGCCCAATTATCATCACCACCTGCCAAATATACACCCCTGCCAATATCTTACACCACCAGCCAAATTTTCATACACCCCCTGCCAATTATCATACACCACCTGCCAAATATACACCACCTGCCAAATATCTTACACCACCTGCCAATTATCATACACCACCTGCCAATTATCATACACCACCTGCCAAATATACACCACCTGCAAAATATCTTACACCACCTGGCAATTATCATTTCACCCACCTGCCAATTATTTATACACCACCTGGCCAATTATCTACACCACCTGCCAATTATCATACACCACCTGGCAATTATCATACACCACCTGCCAATTATCATACACCACCTGCCAAATATACACCACCTGCCAAATATCTTACACCACCTGCCAATTATCATACACCACCTGCCAATTATCATACACCACCTGCCAAATATACACCACCTGCCAAATATCTTACACCACCTGCCAATTTTCATACACCACCTGGCAATTATCATACACCACCTGCCAATTATCATACACTATCATGACTTAAGTCTTGACTGAATTATTGCAACAATTGAGAATTTGTTCTCCTTGGAGAGTCTGAGGGACTGACTCTCCTCCAGTTGAAGGACTTTACTTCCCCCTCCAGATGAGGGACTTGACTCTCCTCCCGTCTGAGGCTGACCCCTCCAGACTGAGGATGACTCTCTCCAGATGGGACTGACTCTCCTCCGAAGGATACTCTCCCCACCCGGGGCCCCTCCTCCACCTGGGACTACCTCCCCCCGACTAGGACTGACTCTTTCCCTCCATCTGAGTATTACTCTCCTCAGACTGAGGAACTGACTCTCCCCGACTGAGGGACACCCTCCAGACTGAAGACGCTCTCCTCCAGCTGAGGATGACTCTCCAGAGAGGGACTACTCTCCCCCAGACTGAGGACTGACTCCCCGCTGAAGGCGACTCTCCTCCAGACTGAGGACTGACTCTCCTCCAACTGAGACTGAACTTCCTCCAGTTGAGGACTGACCCTCCTCCCCTCTGAGGGGACTGATTTTTCTCTAGATGAGGGACGACTCTCCTCCAGTGTGGGACTGACTCTCCTCCAGACTGAGAGACTGCTCTCCTCCAGATGAGGGACTGACTCCCTCCAGACTGAGGGACTGACCCCTCCCAATGAGGGACTGACTCTCCCTCCCCGCTGAGGGACTGACTCTCCTCAGACTGAGGGACTGACTCTCCTCCAGACTGAGGGACTGGGCTCTCCTCCAGACTGAAGGACCTGACTCTCCTCCAGCTGAGGGACTGACCTCCTCCCGTCTGAGGGAATGTTCCTCCAGACCTTTAGGGGACTGCTCTTCCTCCAGCTGAGGGACTGACTCTCTCCAGACTGAGGGACTGACTCTCCCCCAGGGCTGAGAGACTGACTCCCTCCAGACTGAGGGACTGACTCTCCTCCGCTGAGGGACTGACTTTCCCCCAGAAATGAGGGACTGATCTCCTCCAGACTGAGGGACTGGCTCCTCCTCCAGAAATGAGAGGACTGACTCTCCTCCAGACTGAGAGGGACTGACTCTCCTCCAGACTGAGGGACTGACTCTCCTCCAGACTGAGGGACTGACTCTCCTCCAGACTGAGGGACTGACTCTCCTCCAGACTGAGGGACTGACTCTCCTCCAGACTGAGGAGACTGACTCTCCTCCAGACTGAGGGACTGACTCTCCTCCAGTCTGAGGGACTGACTCTCCTCCAGACTGAGGGACTGACTCTCCTCCAGTCTGAGGGACTGACTCTCCTCCCGCTGAGGGACTGGGCTCTCCTCCAGGCTGAAAGGGGCTGACTCTCCTCCAGCTGAGGACTGACCTTTCCCCCAGCTGAAGGACTGACCTCCTCCAGGGCTGAGGGACTGACCCTCCTCCAGACTGAGGGACGGGCTCTCCTCCAGACTGAGGGACTGATTTCCTCCATAGGGAAATGATCTTAAGGAAGTGGAACGAACCTCCTCCGTTGAATGCTTTCGTCTGAGGGCGACTTCCCCAGCAAGGGGAAACTTTCCTTAATATTCCTTGAGGGACTTTTTCTTTTGGACCTCCCTCCTCGGGGAATTTACCCCTTGTTTGAAGGTGTTTATCTAGGGACTGGAATTAGATTAGGATGATTTTCTAACTAGATATTTTTTAAATAATATGTAATATTTATATGAGTTTTTGAACAGTTTCTTCCCCTAAGCATTTGGTGTATTAAGGGCGATAAAATGGGGAGGGGAGGGATTTTTTGTAGTTATTTCCCAATTTAAAAAATCATGTTTTTTTTTTGGGAAACTTCGGGGGAAGAGGGGTTTGCATGTGTTATATTATGTGCATGTGGAATAATATTTGAAAAGGGGAAGAACTTTCATACGAGTATTTATGGATAAATTTTATATTTACTAAGTGAAGGGTATTAGATTATGTCCAAAAAAAATCTTTAAACGTAAAATTTTTGGGGAATTTGGTTTTGTGATTTAAGGTTACCTTTATAAATATTAAAAGGGGTTGTTTGTTCTGAATTGTTTGGTGTTAGGAAGTATTTTGAGGAAAAATTATAAAATGATTTTATATTTTAAAAATTAAAGGGGTTTTTATGATAGTTATGGGCATTGGTAGAGAAAACGGCTTTAAAAAAGGGTCAAGAGGAAAGATACACGGAATATCTCCAAAAAGGTATTTATTCTATAAGTTTTGGGGAGGGTATCTCAGTACCAACCGCCCCCAAAAAAAAATTTTGGGGAAGGGCTTGTTACCCAAGACGTGGGGTCTATGGAATATAATTTAGACCTACTTACGCCTTTATAAATATAAAGGTTAGGGGAAACCCGGTGTAAAGTACATATAAGAAATTAAAAACCCAATGGACCCCGGGGTTTTAAAGGAAAGATGGACAGGGGGGAAATTAGGGGAGAAAATACTGGAAATTTAAGAATAGAAAAAGGGTCGTTTTTTAATTTTAACCCCAGGACCATAGGTTAACCCCGAAGTTTAGGCTCAACAGGATGTCATTTTAGGGGTTCTTT